TTGTTGTCAAGGCATCGAGATAATGTTGGGAAAATTATCCAATATTCTTTTGTGTGATTAAGAAGGGAATTAGACAACTAGGATTTCAAAGTCAAACTATTTTATTATTAGGAAAGATTATTACAAGAGAGTTTTAAAAGTGAACACTCTTTGGTGGTGTGTTCTTAGGACTTCTCTTGGTTGATGTTACAAATGCTACCTAACACCCATATTTATAGTAGTGGTACCTCAAGTCCTAGTTTCTAGAATTATTTCTAGAATCATCTTTAAACATTATCCACTTATCCTCTAACATTTTCTAGGATTATCTCTAAGCCTTATCCTAAGCTAACTTATCATGATAATTCTAGAGATTTCATATTCTTCATACTTATCCCTAATCTTCTCCATAATTCTAGAAGCTTCTTCATTCCTCTTATGATTTGTATGCGCTAATGGAGGGAATATCCACCACAATTTAAGTAGGCGAGTAAAAAATGTTATGAAAATAGACGTGCAGGTTATACCAAAAGTTTAATTATTTCAAATCTAATTTGGAGTCGTTGATTATCCAAAATAGTAGAAGGTGTAGTAATAGAAACAAATTAAAATTAAGTTTTTGTTGTTGAAGAAATCAAATTAAAATTAGTTCCAACGGATTAGTGTGTATGATTTATTGTTACATGCATTTTTAGTCAGTTCTATGTCTGAAATTCTGGAGATTAAATTCAAACTTTACTTGCTAGCATATAAATAACCCACATATTTTTCATCATTTGATTGTCTTTTGTATAGTAAGAAATTACAGCCTCTTCTCGATCAAATATTCAAAATTACGTACCTTATAACTATATTAGCAAAGAGGTTATAATACAAAATAACCTTTGCATATGATTTTCGCTTCGGTTATTATACAAATCTCTATTCTTTATACGATGTAATAGCTTTGTTCAAAATAAAAAATACAATGTAATAACTTTCAAAGAACATTAACATGTGAAAAGGTTAAAAGAATTTTACTATAAACATTGTACTATATCTTATTTTCGAATGCAAAACTATTCCCTCTTCAAAAATCTATACATATAAAAAAATTTGAAACAAATAGTTGAAAAATATGATGATTTTCGATTAATACACAAATTTTATAAATGATATGATGATTTTCGATTAATACCTAGTCGTTTAATAAATGATCAAGAGGGACGATATGGTTACAGCTTCGATTGGTAACATTGCGTAATTGTAGGATGGCGAAAAAAAATGAATATGTAGAATGTTTTTTTTTTTTTGTGGAATAAAACCTTGCAGACTAAAATTATTGAGCGATTGGATAAATTTTGCAGAATGGCCTGAAACAAAAATTTATAATTAAATTTTATTATATACTTAGATATTATTTGATATATCATAAAAGACTATTATAAGTGTGAAATTTTAATAAAAATCATGATAATAAAATTTAAATATTATAAAAGATAAATTATTTTTAAAAACATTCATAATACATAAAATTATTTGCCTACAATATATCACACGTTCCAAAAAAAAAAGAAGATTTCTATATATTTGAATCTCATAAAATTAATTCAAAAAAGACTTACATTGAACAATATATGGAAACATAAATACTCAATTTATAGACTCAACATGTAATAAATAAAAAATACTATTATCTTTTTACTCCATGCATGCAACGTCAAGAAAATAACTTGGTTGTTGAGTTAATTTATGGTCGAAAGAAAACTAATTATTTTCCAAGGAGAAAGCACTTTTACGGATTGTGTCCCTAGACTGTGTTCGATAGAGGCAGATGGGCAGCCTGATGATTTATCTTGTTTAAGATTTGGTTTAAGTAAATTAGTTGTTGAGCCAAAAAAATAATAAATTCTCCATATATTAATTGGAAAGACACCAAGTGAAAAAAATCCTATGTGTCATTTATCGAGGATTTTAAGGGACACATCAATTAAATTAATCAATCAAAATATTTCAATTAATTATATATTCCATGTTGAAAATCTTTACATATTTGCATTAATTTTTTAACATGAATTCACAA